CTCCTCAATATTATCATAGAGGAAGAAATAGCTATTACTATAACCAATGTCAAGATGTTAACTAATTGTCATCTTAGTAACACTCCCCAACTTTGATATAGAGATAGTATTTGAAAGGAAGAATTAATATTCAAGGAAGAAGATTAAAGAAAATACCTCACAACTTACAAATTCATTAAGCTTCAAAGTAGCAAAACCAAGATGGAAGAGTTTAGCTCCTCATTTGGAGACTAAACATGATGAAAAATATAAAGAAAGAGCTATTCTATACTGAGCTTAGATGTACAAAGGAATTGGATATCTTTTTGTGAAGGAAAGGAGGTGTATTTATAGGCTTTTGGGATGGGATTCGGGTACTCGATCAGGTATTTACATGGTACCCGATCGAGTACGTGTGTAACACTCGATCCGAGGCATACTCGACCGGTTTTAGGCTATTTTCTAAGAGTATACCCGATCGAGTATATATGAATACCCGGTCGAGTATGCTTAGAAAATGGTATTCGGACCATACTCGACCGATCTTCGTGTGAAATTCAAAGGCATACCCGATCGGGTATGTCGGTCTACCCGATCGGGTATAGACATAAAATCGTGGCCGAAATCTTCCCGGCATGTTCCCTTGTGTTCGGATCTGATCCGATTTGAAGTTCCAACCTAATACCCGATCGAGTATAGCTAATACTCGACCGAGTATAGACCAAAATTCAGGATCTTCTTTTGTCTTTGAACTTTTGCACCTTCTTTCCACTTTTTAGGTTCACCAACTGTACTTCGAGTGATCAATACCTGTTTGAGCTCAGAATAAATCTAATCTAACCTATTTACAAGAATTTAACAAACTAATTTATTACACCAAAAGTGTGTAATTTCCAAAGTAAAGGTCAAGCAAAACTAATTAAAAATACAAACATAAATATGGAAATTACGAACGTATCACTATATCGGCACTTGTACACTTGCAAGTTTAGCCCGGTCAATATCACAACTTGAGTACTCTCAAGCCATTGGTAGTTTGATGCATGCCATGACAAGCACCAGGCCAGATATTGCTTATGCCGTGGGTAGGTTGAGCCGGTATAATAGTAATCCTAGTACCCAACATTGGCAAGCAATGAAGAGAATGTTCAAGTATTTAAAGGGAACCATGGATTATGGTTTGTGTTACTTTGAGTATCCTTCGGTGTTAGAGGGATATTCAGATGCCAGTTTGATATCCAATGTAGAGGATCATTCTTCTACAAGTGGTTGGGTATTCTTGCTTGGGGGAGGTGCCATTTCGTGGGCTTCCAAGAAGCAAACTTGTATAACAAGTTCAACAATGGAATCTGAGTTTGTTGCGTTGGCTACCACCGGTAAAGAGGCGTAGTGGTTAAGAAATTTAATTTTTGAGATTCCATTGTGGGGGAAACCGATTGCACCTATTTCTATCCATTGTGATAGTGTTGCCACTTTGGCTAAGGCATATAGTCATGTTTATAATAGCAAGTGTAGACACTTTGGTGTTAGACATAGTATGATTAGGGAATTAATCATGAATGGTGTAATTTCGGTGGAGTTTGTAAGATCGCAACATAATTTGGCAGACCACTTGACCAAAATCTTGGCCCGGGACTTAGTGCACAAGTCGGTGATAGGGATGAGTTTAAAATCCATTTAATCCTTAATGGTGAGACACCCAATTCCGCTCTAATACAACGTTAGAGGCTGAATTCAATGCGGAAAGCTCACACATATGGATTGGAACACACAAATCAAGATCATCCCAAGGTGTGTGTTCGGACCTGTGGTAGGAAGGCTGAATTTATTTCTTAATAATTCTTTTGATAAAATGTAAGCAGATACATGAATAAAGGAATAGAGCGGTTGAGCAGTTTCGTGAAGTTTTTCCAAATACTGTCACAGTTATTCTAAAACGTGTTGCAACTGCCTGGGACGTGTAATATGGATATATATCACCATATTTCGTACAGAGAACAATTAAGAGAGATATACAACATATCTGGATCACTATTGGCATTCAAATTAAGAAAACAATCCATGTACTCACTAGTTTGGCTCTAGTTCTTGTGCCTAAGTTCTAGAGTGTCCTTAAGGATTATCCTAGATTGAATTTCTTGTAACCCAGACATAGGGGAGAAATATCAATTCGGAAAGTGAACTTACACGAACCTTAAGAAATCCAGGTGCTCGATTATCACCCCTATACACACGAAACCCCAACATCTCTCACTCCAAATTCCATGACTGCAACTACTCCGCCACAATTCTTCCCTCTGCCATGGTCCGAAATTCTACCATCGATCATAGCTAGCTCTCAAAGTCTTCAAAGCGATTTCTACAACAATGCAGGTAATCTTCTTTTTCTTTCTTCTTCTTCTACATCTTTCTAGTCCCTGTTTTCTTCCTGGTTCTCTACATCTTCTTTCTCTGTATCTTCTGTTTGTTTAGATTATTTTGATTTGTTATTTTTTTTTTTGCTTTTCAAATTAAATAAAAAAATATTTCAGATCTGAAAACATTTACATGAAAAGAGAAATTTCAATCGATCAGTGATTAAAAAATATTTAGATTTGAAATTTTTTATTTATTCATTAATTAATTTTGATTAATTTGAAATTTGAGAATGCCATGTCTACTAGTAATTAGAAATAACGTCACTTTAATGACATTATATCTATCTAGATATCTATATTACCCCGAAACTACAAATTTTAGAGTGACATTTTTTCCATTTGACAAACAAATGTCACTTCTATGCCACTAAGATGACATTTTCTTAGGTAAATGGTTTGCAGGAGAATGCCATCTTGATAAGAGTAATGACATAAATTGAAAATTACATTTTCGTTAAACACATGACATTTTCAGCTGTAAAAATACGGAATTTTAGATGAGAAATAAAAAATGTCATAACAGTGACGTTTTTAAATAACCAATAATTATGACATTCTCAAATTTTGAAAGTTACATTTTTCTGATAATAAATAAATAAAAATTCAAATTGAGATATTTCCAATCAATTGTTCTTTTTTGTAGTCTATCCATAAAAAATTCTCAAACTCAAAATTTGATTTAATAGAAAATAAAGAAACGGAAATCAAGAGGAGGAGGATCCAGTAGCAGATCCAGGATTCAAACTTATTGGGGGTGAGGCAAATAAAAAATGCATCTAAAATTAATGAAGTTTAATGTAATAATACAATAATAAAAGTTTAAACAAAATATATCACACTTGTTCACGCCTAGTTTTTATCTTTTGGAATAGATCATTATAGTTTCATTTGTAACAGTTTCAAATAGAGGTGGGCATAAAACCCAAACTGAACCGGTACCGAACCGGCCCGTAACGGTACCGAACTGAATACCGGATATTTAAACATTCTATAGATTTTTATCCCGAATCAAAACCGTACCATTTAGAATGGGCACGTGACCCGTTCTAGATTTTTAGAATCGAAAAATACCGGACCAGACCGTTCAAAAATAATGCATTTAATTTTTGATATTTTTTCTTACAAGTAAATGTATTTTATAGACTAACAATTTTATAGCCCAAATATGTATTCACGTGTCTCTAGAATAGCTTATATGTATATTGTAATTTTTTCTTTTTAGATAATTTGTGTTATATTTTTGTATGTATTGAAGGATGTTAAAATTTTAAAAAACATTAATTACTATTCATTTCTAGTAATTTAGTGTATATGGCTTTTTGTTGTATCATGTTTTTGCAATTTTACAACTTCATGTGAGTTGGTTGGTGTGATGATATCTAGTTATCTACAAATTGCGTGATTTGTCCAAGTCTCTAGCATGCATTTAGCATTGTATCGTACCATTTTGTACAGTTCTAAAACGACATAGTACCGAATGGTTCCATCCTTAGAACTGGACTGTACCGGACCGTTAGAAATCTCACAAAAACATAACGCGTTTTACAAATTTCTCGAACCGTTCTGGATTGCGCCCACCTCTAATTTCAAACATCTCTTTTAATAAAAGCTTTAACGAAATACATCAAAGTTAATTTTTTTAATACATTAGTACATTTTATTTAACTACCTAAAGTAACATATTATTTATATTTAGCATTTCTAACTTATTAAATACAATTTTCTAATTTGTAATTTCTAATAGTAGTGTAAACATTACATTAATAGGTGTATAACTATTTCCGAAACACATCAATTAAATTAAATCTAATTGCTCTGTCTAAAGTATTAAATTTATAACATTAATATTGGTTTAGTAGTACTATTTAATATTTATATAAAACTAGAGATTATAATATACAATACAATGCTTGAATTAATACAATAGAATTAACAAATACGGAAAGTAAACAATACAATGAATATATACAGAGGATTAATTTAAACAAGTATACTAAATAGATAGTACTAAACTATCAAAGGCAACAAACCATCAAATACTGCAACACTCCAAATTTTTATTGGGGGCAATTCATTTTTTTATTGGAGGCAATTACTTGGGCTTTTAATTTTTATTAAAAATTTACAAGGGATTAGTGGGATCTTATTGGGGGCAGCTGCCCCCTCTCATTTGTGAGTAGATCCACCGCGGGGTATCAATCCATCTGTCCATGACAGTGGTGTGGCGCGGAGGAGCAGTTGTGGTGCAGCTACGATTCAGCTACTATCGATGAAGTGAGAGAGAGCTGAGGCGATAAATATGTATGAACGATGCAGGATTTTTGGGTTTAATAATAGAAAGGGCAAAATTGTAGTCCTACTTTTGCAATTTTGTTTTCTTCAAAATAATCTACGTACTATTTGATTTCCAATCTACCATGGAATTTGCCTTTTCAATTTCGTGTGTAGATATTTCAACGGATGAAAACCCACCTATATCGAACACTATCCACGTATTATACTATATGCTATCGTACAAAAAGGATCATCTCGCCACGTGTGCCTAAGGAGGATGGAACTCATGCCACTCACCTCTGCTCTTTCCCAAACTCTTACACGTTTCAAAATCATATTTATCCATGCCCAGCCCGGCAAGCAGTCTTCCTCGGATAATTCATTTGAATCATGCAATCAACGGGTCAAAGCTGCTACGAAGCTGCTGATTCGAAGAGGCTGCTGCTGCTAAGAGAAAAGAAGGTGATGGATTTAGTGCCGCGCGACAAGCGAAGAAGACTAGTGGAGGTGCCCTACACCGCAACGCTAGCCGATACCATGAATACTCTTCTGGCTCACCGGGTGGCGGCCGTGCCGGTGGCTGCACCGCCCGGGCAGTGGATCGGTGCCGGCGGCTCCATGATTCTCGAGCACGATAAGAGCACCGGCGCCGCCAGGAAGCATTACATAGGGATGGTGACGATGCTTGATGTGCTGGCTCATATTGCCGGGGACGGTGAAGAAGATCTTGACCTGAAAATGGCGGCTCAAGTCTCTTCCATTATCGGTCATTGCCTTGAAACTCTCACCTTGTGGACACTCAATCCTGCTATGAGGTAATTAATCTGGGGTGGGAGTTAAAAATATTCACTTTACTACGTACTATTCATGAGGTAGTCAATTAACCTCATTATTTTTTCTTAATTACTACGTGCTTCCTTCGTTATTAAACAAATGCAACGGTCAACATTTAACATTACCGAGACAAAACTTTGACCATTAATATATACGGAGTGTAATTCTCTATCTTTAAAAAATTTTAAAAAAATTAGATTTTGAAAATTTACAATGAGATGACAAATTTAACTATATTTTTTTCATAAAAAATATCAATAAATTAATAAATAAAACATAGTCAAACTACCACAAGTGAATAATCTAAAATTCAATGGGTTGCATTTAATTTATTTAAGAAGGGAGTTAGTACTACGAAGTATTACCTCTGTCCCAAATTGATTTGAAAATTTGACTTTTCTTCGTCAAGCAGTTTTATTTTATTTGTTTAATTATGATATCAATTTTTAATTATATTCTAATTTGTAGTTTACAACTTTGAATAGATTTTAATGTAGTTTCTGAATATATTAATTTTATTTTTTAAAATTAAATTAATTATCGATAGGGAGCACTTTTTTTATTGGTTGACCAAAAAATGTCGACTTCCCAAAACAATTTGGGACGGAGAGAGTATATTTTTGCGCCCATATAGTTTAACACGTTTGAAAATTTAAATTTTGTACTACTTCTATATGGCAGTTTCTTTGAACAATGCCCGCCCACAAGAAACTAAAGCTAAGGGACGTGGGAGTGATTTAATTAGTTTTTGTATTGATTACTAACATGTCCCATACCACTAAAATTAGGGGCGGATCGTGGGCTGGACAACAATTATACTAAGCTCAAACATTAGTTGAATATGAAAAATGAAAAAATTACGAAAATGCCACCGTGTCCAAAATTTTTCAAAGTTTCCAGGCTTATTTTTTTGCGGTGGCATTTTTGTAATTATTTTCGATGGGATCTATAAGTTATGATTTATTGATTAAAAATTTGTGTTTTTAGTCTATTAGTTAAACTTTGCGGTTCTCGGCCTATTGGCACTTCTCACCTGATCCACTCCCTATATATATATATATATGTGTGTATATGTGTGTATATGTGTGTGTGTGTGTGTGTGTATATATATATATATATATATATATATATATATATATATATATATATATATATATATATATATATATATATATATATATATATATATAGGGGAGGGTTCCTGTGAGAAAGGAGTTTCAGGAGAGAAATGAGAACAAAATCTCACCATCAAATACATGAAATCAAAGGCTAAGATTGAATACAAATTAATTGTGGCACATGGTAATTATGTTGAAGTTTGAATGGCTATTAGTATCCTAAAAGGAACGGACGGTTTTAAGTCTAAGGGCAAAAGTGTAAAAGTCATCATCACTTAATTTGGAAACATATAACCGTAGCTCAATTTTTTCATACAAATAGGATTGGATCATTAAATGCAATACATAAAGCCTATTGATTCAGACTATTTTTTCCTTTAATAGTTAATTTATTTAGGTTGTTACTTTACATAATAATTGCAATCCAAATATTCAATTAAATGTGTCAATTGTGTGGGTGCACTGTTATTCAAATTCCTCTTCACTTTGGAATTGTGAAGGTTGCAACGATTCTTTCCAAACAATAAATTACATTAATTCTCTTATTCAATTTTATTTCTAAATTTTGTATTCTCTCACATAAAATTCGGATAATTAATTTGGTAAAGAAAATATACTAATTGTGCATTATTTTTAATATTTCATCAACAGAATCCATCTAGATTTGTCCATTTGCACTCCGATATTAAATTGATGCACTTTTATTAGAAAAACTATGCATCACTGATTTTATTATATATTTGAATATTAATTTGAATATTTTAATTGCACTAATCGTAATTGAAAAATAAATTGCACTTTAAACATACTATTGTGCATTTCCCTACATCTTTCTAATCAAAATGAATTGAAAAAATAAAAACAAGTAGACACGGGTATAAAAAATACATGGTTATACTGTCATGTGCATTCAAGTATATACGAAAGTGCATAAGTATACAACACTAATATGTTACCCAAAATGAAATGCACTTTAAACATGTGCATTTAAATATAAATAAAAGTGCATTGTCGTCTCACACGTTTCTAAAATTTTGCATAGACATTGCAGTGCAGTTATAACACTAAAAAGGTGCAATATTTATAATTACATTAGTGCAATTTTTTAGTAAAAGATAGAGTATAATAATAAATGAAAATGCATTAAAAAATAAAGTAGAAGATATATTTAAACATAAAGTAATGAAATGATCGAGATTTTATACAAAACATGGAAAATAGATGTCTTCCTCCGTGATATCGAACTTCAGAATGATGAAAGTGTGAAAGAATCAAATGATGAGATAAAGAATTTTATTTTTATTGGCTAAGCAAATGAAAAATAATTTGATAAAGATTCTTTTGGAATTGTGAAGTAATAAAAAACAAATCAATCATCCATGATTATAGGGAGTCATGTATGGAAACAATTGAAAGATTAATGGAAGTAATCGTATAAGTTTATTATGGTGCCAAATTCTCTTATTTACCCTTAATGAAATATTAAAAGACTTCAAGATCTAATGGCTATAAATCATTCTCATTTCTCTCCTAAGATGATATTCTCACTTGAACCTAAATTATATATATATATATATATATATATATATATATATATATATATATATATATATATATATATATATATATATATATATATATATATATATATATATATATATATAGAGGGAGCCGTTCCGGTAAGAACGGACTCTCAGGAGAGAAATAAGAACGAATCTGGACCGTTGGATTGTATTATGTGGAACGAAAATGTGCGTTTGATGAAACTGAAATGTGCAGAATAAAAATTTAAACTAAAATGTGCGGAATAAAATGTATAAAAATAGCATCACATCGTATCTTTTATTCTGCACATTTCAGTTTCACCTAGTGTACATTTTAATTTCACCTAACTAATGCACAATTCAGCTTCACTTAATGACATTGTATCACACGCTTTGTGTTGCACATTTGTATTTTACCTAATGCACATTACATTTTCAACTAATGCACATTAAATTTCACTTAAAGCAAATATAACGGTCCAGATTCGTTCTCATTTCTCTCCTAAGATCATGTTCTTATTTGAACCCAAACCTATATATATATATATATATATATATATATATATATACACACACACACACACACACACACACACACACACATCAAATATATTTATTAACTAATTCAGAAGTCATACTAGTATGATAATCTTCAAGCTAGTGTAGGCCGTCTATCTCATAATTAATCACAATTACGTTCTTGTTCTCTGTGTCTTTGGAAGTTTAACCCTAACAATCTAAGTATAGTTATAAAATCTATAATAAATTAACATTTGAATAATACTCGGTATGTTTTACAATGAAGTATATGAAATTAATTTACTCTCTTACTTAAAATAGGGAGTAAATTAAAAGTTTATAGTTTGACTAATTTAATTGTGGGGCGTGGTATAAATTTGTCCTGTTTTAGGTGAATGAATTCAACCTCTAACTAACCATACTCTTTTGTTTACACGGGAAATAAAAAAATAGTCATGGAAAAAATAGGAGTAGTGCAAGAAAATTGGCTTTAATATGGCAAAAAGTTGAATGGTAAAAAATGGTGTGGAAGATTTTAAATTTATTTAGACTGTATTTACGTACATGCATGCACTAATTTTTGGGAGATAGCAGCCTTGTGGACTGTATGGAAGTGTTTAGCAAAGGCATTCACCGCGCCATGGTTCCACTGGAGAGCCTGCAGCAAAGCGAGAGCTTGGCGGGCGTAGAGCTGGTGGAGTCGGCGTCAAGCTACGGGATGCTCTCCCAAATGGACGTTTTGAAGTTCCTGCGAGAATACAATAGGCAACACCCCGAAGGAGAGCTCAAACACATAATGTCATGCCGCATCAAAGTCGAGGACGATGCCGCGGCCGTTTTCGGGATTTCCGATGAGTCCACGGTCATGGATGCCATCAAATGCATGAAGGCGGCTTTACTCACCGCCCTGCCCATCCTCCACTCTCCCATTGCCATTCAAGAACATCACTCACAACTCTTTAATGTAAGAGCACTCGATCGCCTAGCTTGCTTGCATTAATAATTTAATTAATTAAATTTAATTAGTTATCTAAGTGTGTGCTAAAACTAGCTAGCTGTTCATGACGCATGCGTCACTTATATGCAATAACTCAAGTGCAATAATTTTTAGGTAGATTCTATGGTACCCATAATATACCTATTTGGACCAATCAAATGAATGATAGGTACGCTACCCCATTTTTTTAAATGGGTACCGGAGTTGTCATGTGAAAGTCTTACTTGAATTGACCAAGCGATAACTTGCCTCAAGTGATAACATGCCTATCACAGCACCCGGCCTCTTCCGTCACTTTTTCATAAATATTAAAATTAATTTTTTTGAAAACCAAAAGTCTAGAAGAAACATAGAGGGTGTGTTTGGCAAATGATTGTTGGTTGTTGGTTGTTGACCGATTGATAATAGCGGATTCTTAGCTGATCAGCGGTTAATATTAGCAATTTGTTTGGTTAAATTGTTGTTTGCAATCAGCTATTACTCCTCAAATACCTTTTAAGGACATCAATTTTTTTATTTTATTTACTAACTACTCTTATATACTTTTTTAACTACTTTTATGTACATATCATACATTTTGTTACATTTTGTTGATGTTTTTTCACGACTAATTAAACCATTTTTATGATTTACAAAAAATAAAAATATACGGAGTACTAAGAGAAGCAATAGTTATTTTATTTTTTTGGGAAAAGGGTCAAATAGGTCCTCAAACTTAGATAAAAAGGTCAAATAAGCCCTTATACAGGAGGTTCTGTCCGGCCGTCGCCATTTGTGGCGGTTTACGGTGGCATTTTTTGATGACATTTTTTGAGCATCTTATTCATTAAGTCTAGTTTGCTCATACCAAATTTCAACTAAAGTTTCAATCCGGAAAGCATTAAAATGAATTTTTGAAGATAACTACGCAGTTAAAAGCGCAGTTATCTTCAAGAATTTATTTGAATGACTTCTCGATTGAATTGTTAGCTTCAATTTGTTATGCGTAAACTAGACTTAATGAATAAGATGCTCAAAAAATTTCATCAAAAAATTCCACCGGGAACTGCATCAAATGGCGACGACCAGAAAGAGTCTCCTATATAAGGGTTTATTTGACCTTTTTATGTAAGTTCGGGGGCCTATTTGACCCTTTTCCCTAATTTTTTAGACATTGTTTGTAATGTATTAGCCATAGGGTACGTATATTAGAGACCCAACCTACACACAACTAATAAGTGAATGTAAAATAAAAATGAAAACAAAACAAAACGTTGATAATAAATAGCAGCAAAAACCTAATATTAGTAGAAATTGGAATAAAAAGAATTAGGAGCAACCAGGGACGGATCCAGAGTTTCGAGTCAAGGGGGGCGAATTTTTTTCGTTAGTGCAGTGGGTGAAATTTTTTTCGCTAGTTTAGTCGGGCGATTTTTTTTCGCTAGTGTAGTGGGGCGAATTTTTTTTCGCTAGTTTAGAAAGGCTTTGCGGCTAATTTTTATTAAAAAATAATTCATAAGTACATACATGATGATATTTAAATACTCCTTCTGTCCCGAAAACAACTTCTCACTTTCCTTTTCGGGCAGTTCCGAAATTAACTTCACACTTCTTCCCAGTTCCTTATTTGGCAAATTCTCTACATTCAAATAGTGCCAAATGGTACCAAACAGTGCCAAACAGTGTGGAAACAGTGTCAATAGAGTAAATTTTATCTCCCAATATATTTATTTCCTTAATATGTGTAAAAACGAAGTTTGAAGTTGTCTACGGGACGGAGGGAGTATATTTCATTCTAAGTTTAGACAATGAACAAATAACTTTGATTTTATAATTGTAAGTGCTTTAGAAAAAAAGTATTGATACATTAAAGCGTAAGAAATAGCAAATCAAAGGAAAGTTATTTGAAAATTACAAAGGATATATAACATTTTATCAAATTATTTGAAGGTAAAGAGTTTAAAAGGTGCACAACCACCAATGCTTTTTAAATAACGCATGTCATGTTTAACAACATGAATCTTATCGGTAAAAGGAATTGGTTTTTGAATTACAAATTTTGTTTACCAAGAAGGACGTTCGTGAGTCATGAGGATATGATGTATGTAGTATGAGATTATTATTTTTAGAATAATATTATTGAATTGCAAATTTTGAATTGCAAGTTTTGCTAATATTACAAAAGTATAATATGTACGTAGTATGAGATTATTATTTTTAGAATAATATTATATCACTGATTCTTAGATTGATGTCTTTTCTATCTTTCCTTTCTTTTTTCTTTTGACGTTTATCTTCTTTATCTTTTTATATTCTTATGTTATTTTTATCTTCTAGCTTTTTTATGCTCTATTATTTATTTTTTATCTTTTATCATTCTTATATTCTTGTGTTATTGTTATCTTATATTTATTTATCTTTATTTTATTCATTTTATCTTACTTCTTTTTCTTCCCTTTCTTGTCTATCTTCTCTGTTTCGCATCGACCGATTCATGTTAGCCGACCCCAAAATCTTGTAATGGGATTAAGGCTTGGATGTTGTTGTTGTTGTGGTAAAATAAGTCAAAATGTATTATCTATGTAATAAATTATTTTTAAAGAGTAAGAAGTAAACGAATTGTGTAATTTTAGATTCATTGAAAAACTGTTTAACTAGTGTGTCTTGTATATAATATTGTTTGATATCTTACAAATCGAGTAATAATTATCTAATAAATTAAAGATAATTAAACATTTCAAAACTATGAATTTTTATATAATAGGTATCCTAAGTCTTGAACAATGAGTTGTTCTATTGTTTATTTGCTCAAGTTATGTAAATTATTTTAGATGTTTCATCTTTTAAATCTCCAATTAAGTATTAGGCTATATATTAATTTTGAAAACTAAAAGTTAAGGGGGGCGAACACATATATATCTAATTAAAGTATAAAAATTTTATGAAAATATTAAATGTATTATATGAACATATTCTTTATTAAAAAATATTACATAAAAGTATAAAATTTATAAATTACAAACAAATATAATAACTAAAATCATTGTCTAAACTTAAACTTTACCACCATTGACGAAGAAAAGTTCAAATGTATCGATATCTTCTTGGGACGAAGGTAGTACAATACATACGAAGTAACCAAATACCAAATAGAAGAGGATGAGGAAAATTAGGAGAGAGGCTAAAAGGGATGTGAAAACGCCATGTTTAGTAATTTTTAATGTTTGGTTACTATTAGCTGTTTCATCTGGTCAAAAGATGAAATATTAGTCAAAACAGCCAAAAAAGAAAAATGGGAAAACAATGACGTTTTTTTATTTAATTTTATATAAAAACGTGTATATAGTCGGTTTTAATTGTTAGTTATGATATTATTATTATTACCACCGATGCGTCCGCCGCTGCGATGCCGCTTTAGCCGCCGTGATGCCACCGCCGCCAACACCACCATGATAATAATTGTTGTTCGTGGATTATATAAATAATTTTGTATGTTGATTGAAATGAAATGGTTGCAGGGGAAAAACATGAAAGTGAGGGCGACATTCTCCGCAACAGATCTAAGGGCATGCCCTATACCGCTTCTGAAGACTTGTCTACAATGGAAGGTGGTGGATTTCTTGCGGATGCAGGAGGTGATGAGGCCGTCACTCGTAGCTGGGACAAGAGAGATGACGCTAGGGGAGGCGGTGGAGAAGGTAGTGTGCAATGGGGTGCACCGCATTTGGGTGGTTGATCGTCACGATTTGCTTCAAGGCCTTTTGTCTCTCACCGATATTCTTAAACTCATCCGCCTTTCTCTGCTCGGATCTTTTGCAACACCCACCGGGAAGACATCTATATAGTAGTTATAATTAATAATTAATAATAGATGAATGAATATGATGCATCCATCTTATCAATATGCTCATGTATGTAGTGCTAAGATTTGAAGGAATAAAAGTAATTTTAGTAATATAAAATATGGAGTATAAAGAGGTGAGAGTGTTTCTAGAACCTCCCACATTGATTACATTATAGTTCTAGAGTATTCTCATATTAATTACATTCTAGAGTGCCTAGATAACTTTTATTTCTAGAGAATTCTACACATTCTAGAGTACTTTAATAAAGAATGTCATATACTCCCTCCGTTCCTAAAACTTCTTCCCAGTTTGACTTGTCACGCTTATTAAGAAAGTGGAATAAAGTGGAAATATATGGTTGTGGTTGTGTAAGAAAAAGGTAAAATGAATGTGAGCCACACAAATGATCCAAAATGGGAAAGTGGGAAGTATTTTTTGGAACAGCCCAAAAAGGAAAGTGGGAAGTATTTTTGGGAACGGAGGGAGTAAGATTTTAGAGATTCGTTGAATTTTCGAACACGTACTCCTCCTAAACAATTACTCTACCTTATTGTAGATTTTGCAACCATGGCAAGTTGATCCTTCAAGCTCTCGAATTACTCGTCCTTCTCGTTCTGCTCTATGGTATCCTGATTCGGGAGCGTCTGCTCACATGACTCCATCTGAAGATATTTTGTTTAATAAATCTCCTTACAACGATCATAATTCTGTTAGTGTTGCTAATGATGCCCACCTTCCTATTTGTAATGTTGATGATGTTGCATTACCTTCTTCTGGTCGTCCTCTCACTTTAAAATCTGTTTATCATGCGCCTCAGTTAAAATATAATTTAATTTCAATTCAAAGGCTCTGCGCTGATAATAACTGTATTGTGATTTTTGATAAAAATTCCTTTTTGATTAAGGACAAAGCCTCGGGGGCAGTACTTCTACGAGCTACCAGTAGTGGGCCACTTTATTCTATCCGTCTGCCGTCATCACCATCATTAGTTCTAGCTTCCGTTTTAGCTTCTGGCCATGTGTGGTACTGTAGACTAGGTCACTGTGGTGACAATATTTTACAATTTCTTAAGAGAAAATAATTTTTATGTAGTCATTCTCCTTTTACTCTTGAGTGTGTGGCTTGTCGATTAGGAAAATCAAAACGTTTGTCTTTATGGATGCTAGTCATAATTCTATTCTTCCTTTGGAAATTATTCATTCTGATGTGTGGCAATCTCCTGTTTATTCGAATTTGGGATTTAAGTATTACGTGTGTTTCATTGATGATTAGTCCTGTTTTACTTGGATTTATCCCATGTGCCACAAAAGTGAGGTTCTTATGCACTTTAAAAATTTTAAGACCTTGGTTGAAAACCTTTTTAATCAGAAAATTAAATTTTTTCTGAGTGACGGTGGAGGTGAATTTGTTAATCATAATATGCAATAATTTTTCTGTGCTAATGGTGTATATTTTCGAAAATCTTGTCCTGACACACCTCAACAAAATGAGGTCGCTGAGCGAAAACATCGTCATCTGCTCGAGTTAACTCGAACAATGCTTCTACACATTTTTCTCTCGTACTTATGATGTAGCTTTGTACTTGAATTCGTATTAATTTGGACCGTAAACTGACACGATGAAGCAACCTTTTATTATTTCTACCTAATAATGAACTTCTACCAGTATTATACAAAGTATATGCTGCAACTTTAGTACAAAAATGAAACTTTTTCTCTCTTTATGCAGTTTTAGTATAATACAAAGTATATGCTGCAGCTTTATCAATCAAAGAAACTAGACCTAGTTTTTCTTCTATTTTTTGGACCTAGGGCGATTGCTCCTCTTACGCCCTTAGAACCGGCCCTGAAAGGGTTGGTTTCATCACTTATATACCGCAAGAAGTAAACCTGGTAGTACATCTCCTTGCACATACGGCAGCTCATCAACAAACCAGTGCACTTACTCACCATTTTAGAATCTCCAAGCAAAAATGCAAGGGGCCATAAAGCTAGATTTGTCGGGACTCCCACATATTAAATTTATGTCGTGAAATTTATTTTCCTTGATCTTTTTACTCTTTCCCGTCATCTAAAATCTAGAATGTTGCTTTCTTTCTTTCTTCAAGTACACGGCTACTTAGAGATCACATTTTTCCATTATTCTCACATGGTATCAAGAGCACATTATTTTTTTTTTCGATCCTCTCTCATCAAACCCTAGCGCCGCCGCCGTCTTCTCTCCTTCGACGCCGCCACCCACTGCAGCATGTCGACCTCCGCTTCCGCAGCTTTCAGCACGTCGGCAACCACGGCCCATTTGATGAATCGACAGAGACTTATTTATGGGTTGACATCCATTCGTTATTCTTTTATGTCATCATAACCTGAACTCCTTAATATAATTTGGTATAGTTTTTTACTCCATCAATCCTAAAAAGATTGATACATTTTGATTTTATTTGGTCAATGATGGTTAAGTTTGATCAATGATATCTTTTAATACAAAATTATTTAAAATATGAAAATTACATGAACATATTCTTTTTTAAAAAATCTTACATAAAAGTATAAAATTTATAAATTACAAAGAAATATAATAACTAAAATCATTGTCTAAACTTAAACTTTACCACCATTGACCAAGAAAAGTCAAAATGTATCGATATCTTTTTGGGACGAAGGTAGTACATTACAGAAAGGAGGGAGGGACGTGGGTAGATAAGGAAAATTAGGAGAGAGGCTAAAAGAGATGTCAAAACGCCATGTTTAGTACAGAGAAGCTTTTTAATGTTTGGTTAATAGCCTATCAAATATCAACCATTTTTGGCTTCTTTTACTATGATGAAACGGTTAGAAACACAAGAGGGGAGGGAGGGGGGGGGGGGTGAATTGTGTTCGTGTTGAACCGTGGCAGTTTTTGCACAGTTCTAGGGTGGGTGAAGGGAAATATATGCGAAATAGTAAGTACACAGGGATTTAACGAGGAAAAATCCCTTGGCTCACAAGGATTAAAAAACCTCGACCTCCCTCGGAGGAATTTTGAACAATTTCACTAAAAAGCCTTTTTGTGGTTACAAGGTAAATTCTCCTAATCTACCCTTGAGCCATCCCAACTCAATCCTCTCTAGGAAGAGTTATGCTTCTCTACCTTGCGGGTAGAGAGCCTCTTAGCTTTACAACAAAGCTCTCACACACACACGATCCCAAACCGAGGAAGCTACTCTTAGTTATTCCTCGAAACCAAATTACAAGATAAAGAAAGGAAAAGAAACTCTATCTAGAACTCCGTGTGTAGGTTCATGTGTCTTGAACTTGATAACCCTATGCAACTCTTTCTCCTTTTGAATACTCTCTCAAGCACACCCCTCTTCTTTTGGTCTTCGATCATATATATAACTTCATGCAGGTCGTCCGTTGCTCCTCTTTCCTTAGTTGGTTGCTTTGGTGAATTTATGGACTTGCCTTGATATTTTTGAATCACCTTCCTTCTATGTGGATTTTAATCATTCCGATTTATTGCTCGTGATAATCATACACAATATCGTAATATAGAATAGAAGGAAGTAATATATTAACTTTGTCAATCATGCAACGTTCCATAATATATATGGTAATAGAATATTCTTTTAGATCAAAATCATGGGTAATAAAATATTCATAGAAAAACATGGATCGGTCAACCATTATGAAAAAAGGCAAGTTAATTATACGACCCATATCATGTGACAGTCAAGCTTTTAGTATCAATGCTTAGTCATGCATGTAAAGTATGCCACATATACATTATACTAATGCAGGCATAACTTATAATGTCAAAGCTTTTAGTATCAATGCTTAGTCATGCATGTAAAATATGCCACGTATATATTACAGTTTAATTCATGCAAACATATATTAATTTATTAAGCACGACAACAATGCACATTAAGTTTGTTCCCGGTAGAACAGGTAGTAGTTCTATCCAAAGGTCCTACCTGCATGGTTAGTTATCATTGTTTTGGACCCAAAGATAGTGTTCTTTTCTGTTTAAGGTTAGTCATCAACAAAAATAAATAATCAACAAATTACCTCTTTTTGTTGATGACAAACCTTAGGTGCCGAAGGAGTTCCTGCAGATTAGTATTTGAGCAAAAGAAAGAGAGTAGTAGCAGTTTAACTGTAGCAAGAAAAGAGGCACCTGATTATTTCCCCCTTTTGGCATCAACCAAAAGGAAACAGAAAATAACAAAAACAATGCCGAGTAGCATACCAGTGTTAAAGTATTGAAGTTGTCTAGTAGCAGATTACCCTTCCCAACCCAAAATTAATAAGTAAATGATTCTTCTGCCTGGGTCTCCTAGCCACCTCCTGCTTGAAAGATTGGAAATCATTGTGAATGACGTTGGTAGAAGCTGCCAGTGTGTCCACCTTCTGTGCCAAGGCGGAGATGGATTCTGAAAGTGAAGCAAAGTGGTGTTGAATAAAGCGCTCCACTAGATTGATACGATCAGTGATTGGGGGTACAGGCACCATTGGGTCGATAGAGGGAACTGGAGTGAGTTTTGGATTAGGCTTTTGTTCTGAGGACGAGGGAGCAGGCTATTTAGGAAGTAGGTGAGAGTTTGAGATAACCAGTCCTAAGTTGCTAAGGCCCCTTTTGTCCGGAATCTTACACGCATCTTCAGAAGAGAACTTATCTAGAGCAATTTTCTTTGACATAAATATTTTGGTAATCAGCGGGGCATATGGAATTCCAATCTTTCGGGATGAAGTACTAAGGATAAAACTGAGATGGGCCATGACGAGCACTTTGTCACGGTGCGTCAAAATAAATTCAATACTAAACACTTATACGTAGTATAGCGTAGTAGAGTTCGTATCCACAGGGAAAGGAATGATTCTCTTTTTATGAAACTAGTAATTAAAAAGGGGGGATTTTGGTTTTGAGTGATTTAATTCAATTAAGAAACTAAGATGAACAACCTATATGTGTTTAATTCAAGAATAAAAGGGACTTGGCTTTGCTACTTTCCACTTGTTGATATATTTTAGTCGATCCTTGTTATATATATAACTTATCCCCTCTCGAATACTCAATCGAGGAGTATCTCCAATTCATCGAGGGTAGTTATTAACAACGACCGTTCATTAATAACCCTTACTATTAATCAAATATAGAACAACGCCATATACCGAT